AGGATAATTTTATTCATATGGATCCAGAAAGATCTAATGCTAATCCTTTTGAATTAATGGAAGCTGTACTGATCTTTCTCCTATGATAGTGAGAAGGGACAGATTACTTTTGATTGGAAAGGGGCATTAGGCAACAGTCTGAGTGAGGGACAGAGCTATGGATCATCTGATTGGTCCTCCTCCAATGTTAAGTATACCCCTTTTAAGAGAACTAATTATTCAGCTGCCCTTTATTTGGGTTGTGAGTAATGATACCTTAGGTAAGAATCAGAAAGAAATAAATTGCTCTGCTTAGAATTGTTTTTATGCATTATGCTGGGATGCTATTAAGCACCCTTTTGCTTTGGTAATGCGCATGCCTCGATTTGTTCCAGTTCCTGTTGAGACGCCAAGTAATTTGAGTTTGTTTAGGGAAAAGCGAGATTTTTGGGATCTCTGCTATTATTGTGGGCCTGATAGCCACCGCCGCGGTTACTGCTTCGGTTACCGCCTCGGCCCTTGCACTTTCTGCCACTGTGCAGACAACTCAAACCATTAATGAACTATAGGCCACTGTGACCATGGTCCTAGATAAACAGGCCACTGCCAATTCTCAGATACAAGGAGGCCTGATGTTGGTAAACCAACAGATTAATTTGGTTCAGGAACAATTGGATATATTGTGGCAGATGGCCCAATTGGGATGTGAACAAAAGTTGCCTGGCCTTTGTGTCACTTCAGTACAATATGAGAATTTTACAAGAGCAGCTAACCTGTCACAAGCTCTGTCTCAACATTTATTACAGAATTGGACTTTTGAGTTTGAGCAGACACTCCGTGAGTTGAGAATGGCGATCCTGCAAGTGAATTCGACGCATCTGGATCTTTCTCTGATGGAAGGCCTCTCCTCCTGGATTTCATCTGCATTTTCTTATTTTAAGGAATGGGTGGGGGTAGGATCATTTAGCCTAGTTCTCTGCTGTGGAATAGTGTTGATGCTTTGGATGGTGTGTAAGCTCAGAGCCCAAACAAAAGAGACAAAGTGGTGGTGGCACAAGCACTTGCTGCCTTAGAACACGGAGCCTCCCCTGACATTTGGTTAACCATGTTAAAGCAATAGGTCGCTGGCCTCCCAGCTCTTGCACCCCACGAGGCTAGTCTCATTGCACGGGATAGAGTGGGTAGGCTTCAGCAGCCCAAGGAGTTGCAAGGCTAAGCACTGCACAGGAGAGGTCTGCGGTATAACGACTTTCTCCTGGGAGATAAGTCATCTTGCATGAAGGTTCTATGTCATGATCTCCTTCCCCCAGAAAAACGACATCGGACTGGTCAGGGCTCTCTCTGGGGATAAGACCCTGGAGAGGAGCTTTGTACATGTTCCGAATTTGCACATGGGGATTTGACCTCTATCTCCACTCCAAAGTTGTGGGTGTCCTATTGCTTCAAAAATAAATGAATAGGGGGAGATGTGAGGAGCCGCCCTCGCTATCGCTATTGCCGTTAGAAGATGGCGCTGACATCTGCTGTCAGTTGGAGTTAACCGTTAGAAGATGGCGCTGACATCTGCTGTCAGTTGGAGTTAACCGTTTAAGCTGTGCCTCTCCCGTGGCGTCATCTGGGGTGATGTGCAAACCACCAATCCCGGCTCTACACGTCTCACTCGGAGCTCCTAGGCTTATATAAGGGGCTGGGTTTCTTAGCTTGGGGTCTCCCTCTAAGAAGCTGATCATCTATCTCTCAAGATGCATTAAAGCTTTACTGCAGAAGGATCCGAGTGTTCTGCGTCGTTCTTGCTGGCGAGACGGTAGCGCGGGACACCTTGGTAATTCTGAAGCTTGCCAAGTTAGAAACTATTGTAATACTGCCATGGCTGAAGAACTTGTAAGATTTTATTGTCTCCTGTCTTACCAGAGGGAAGGAGACATTTTTATAACCACTTGTTTTGTGTGAGTGTATACTTTCTGTATTTTCTGCCAGTAAAGTTTTAGACTTCAGTGGAACTAATTCCAGCATGCTCAGTTTAATGTCTATCAGGTGTTCTAAACTAGATGCTCTGTGTACTGAAATCATTTTAGCTTTTCCATTATCTTGAAGCAGTTTGGAGTGGGTGTAGGGGAGAGAGTATTCAGATTGTCCTCAATGTATATATGTGTAAAGGAAGTTTCTCCAACTCTGTCTCACAGCTATGGAGTGTTGGACCTGAATTGAGCTCCAAAGCCTGTTCAGTTTCTCATATAGCAGCAGTGGCTTTTTTTCAAGGGATCCTTTGAGCTCATCTCCCCTGATGAACAGATAGAATTCAGACTCATTGTTTCAAGGAAATGAGATTTAAAAAAATCATATGTAAATTAAAATGACAAACTTTATGTTACATATAATTTAATCACAATTATAAAAAGCAGAATTTTATTGAAAACTGTTTGAACATACTGATGCCTACTGGTTCTTGTGATCAGCTGTGTTCACATATACTGTGAAAAATCTGTCTAGTGGTGTTGATGGGTACTCCTCTGGGATAGTAATTGGCTCATGCTGTTCAACTAGCAGTTAACTATGAAATGTCTTCTATAGCTAATTTGTCCTTGTCTTGTATTTAACTTGAACAGTTAATAATAAATTGTCATTGAAAACAAAAAAAAATCTGGGATTCTGTATTCACTACAGTAGCTGTCCTATAAACAAATGATAAACGGGCTGAGAAAGAAATCAGAGGAACATCACCCTTTACAATAGCCACAAACAACTTAAAATATCTTGGGGTAACTCTAGCCAAACAAGTGAAAGACCCATATGACAAGAACTTTGAGTCTTTGAAGAAAGAAATTAATGAAGAAAACGGAAAGATCTCCCATGCTCTTGGATAGGTTGAATCAACATAATAAAAATGGCAATCTTACCAAAAGCAATCTACAGATTCAATGCAATCCCCATCAAAATCCCAACATAGTTCTTCACAGACCTCGAAAGAAAACACTCAGCTACGTATGGAAAAACAAAACACCCAGGATAGCTAAAACAATCCTGTACAATAAAAGGAACTTCAGGAGGCATCACCATCCCTGATTTCAAGCACTACTATAGAGCTATAGTAATGAAAACAGCTTGGTATTGGCACAAAAACAGGCATGAGGATCAATGGAATCAAGACCCGTCCATTAATCCACTCAACTATGAACACCTGTTTTTTTATAAAGAAGCTAAAATTATACAATTGGAAAAAAGAAAGCATCTTCAACAAATGGTGCTGGCATAACTGGAGGCTGACATGTAGAAGACTGCAGACAGATCCATGTCTATTGCCATGCACAAAACTTAAGTCCACATGGATCAAAGACCTCAGCATAAACCCAGTTCCACTGAAGCTGACAGAAGAGAAAGTGGGAAGTTGCCTGCAATGCACTGGCACAGAAGACCACTTCCTAAATATAACAACCAGTAGCACAGACACTGAGACTGACAATTAATAAATGGGACCTCCTGAAACTTCTGTAAGGCAAAGGACACAGTCAACAAGTCAACAAGGCAAAACGGCAGCCTACAGAGGTCTGATCTCCAAAACACATGAAGAACTCAAAAAACTATACATCAAAATACCAAATAAATCAATTTTTAAAATGGAGTACTGCTCTAAACAGAGAATTCTCAATAAAAGAATACCAAATGGCCAAAAGACATTTAAGG